ACAGAAATCTTATGCCGCTATTAAGAATGCCACCATAGGCATTATGCACGGCAAATGACCGTAAGATAGGCATTAAAAGATATATGGAAAAGTGGAGGACATTGGACTAATAGATCGTTTACTGTAACCTTGATAGAAGGAACGAGGAAGATGCCATTAGTCACATTCCTCACATTCTTACTTAAATAACTATCAAGGGTACTTACTACAGTCAATATATAAAAACATTTATATACAGTATAAACGGTATAAATATACAGTATAAACGGTATAAATATACAGTATAAATATTGTAGTAATTATTATAATCATTAACTTATAATATAAATCCTTGTGAAAAAATGGCAATGGAATTAAAGGGGCTTAGCGCGAGTGTTTTATTTACTCTGGTGAAGTTAACGCGACAGACCTTTACCAACGTGTCTTCGAAGGGTTGTGAGCGTCTGCTGTTTATTTCGTCTTTAGTAATGTTGTCGTAATTCTTTGTGTTGTGAAAATGTTACGAAAACGTTAAAGAGTGTTTGTAAAGACGTTTGAAAAGGAAGACAATTAAGTTCTACACAGAAATGAATGAAATTAAACAAAGAAACGAAAAACAACTCACGTTCGCCGAGGATTAAACGGTTTTTAAAAACTCCCAAGTGACTCAAATATAGAGCTTAGTTGACATGTTACTGCTTTTAGAAAATGAAAACACAGCACTTTGGTGAAATAAAGAAATGTGTGCCTTCTCCCACATCTATTACATGAAACTTAAGTATATAGATTTAAAACGTCAAGTATATAATTTAAAAGGCTTGTGTACAGCATTGTCATTAAAAGCCTCGTTGTCTTTAAGCTGTATTGCATTGAAAGAGCCTAGTGTATAATATTCAAAGTGTTAAGTATATAATTTAAGATGTTAAGTGTGTTTTATGAAAAGTTTTGTCAGCGGTGAAAATTATCAACTGACGATGGAATCGTCCCAGCCTCTCTGAACTCTCGATCATTCTCTGCACCAGCCATTCTGTGACTTCACTTCGTGACAACACGTGACTCGGCCAGCCAATGACAATGAAGTATTTCGAATTTTTCAAATTTAGGAGAATTTGCCGTACCCTTGGCCAGTCGAGTCTATTCCACGATCACAGACAGAAGTCATGACGTGTGACGGATGTGAATCTAGCTTTGAGGTAACGATGGAACACTTCCGTCGTTCTGATGACTGTGTTGTGGATTTTTTTTTCAAAAGGACTGAAAGAAACTGCGAGAAGTGCATAAATTTTTGCAAACTTGAGGAAAGATAAGAGAGTTTCTGTTGTGATCACCAAAAGACAAACCCGAGAAACAAGCGTGTGGTACGGTGTGGCCTGTACCACTTCCTCAAGGAAATCGCTCGGTCCTTCCCGACCTCCAAATAAAGGTTAGTCAAGGTTAGGTTAGGTTATGATTGGTGACGTTAGGTTAGCAACAGTCAAGTACCAAATATTAGCCCATAAGATAGATTAACCTGGACTTAACTTGAGATAGCAAACGGTGTCACATGCACCCCACGTGATACAAGTTATAGATGTCGCATTTTTTTTTGCTTATTGTGTGACCACATGTCCATATCTAAATTCAGTGTTCCTCACCGCTCATCACCGCGTAGACTATTTTGTGCATCTTTAAACGCATGGTGATTTTATATCTTGCAATCAGATGCCATAGACTTGTGCGATGGTTAGGGTTCATAATCTACATAAACGATCTAGATACTGGGATCAGCAGTGACATAAACAAGTTTGCGGATGACACCAAAATAGGGCGGCAGATTAATTCAGGGCAGGATGCAAATGCACTACAGGAGGATTTAAATAAACTGCAGAAGTGGTCAGAAAATGGCAAATGAAATTCAACACCAGCAAGTGCAGCGTACTTAATATTGGAAGAACAAATACTGTCAATGTATACTGCCTTAGCAACATCAACCTAGAGAAGTCGACTTGTGAAAGAGACCTAGGGGTACTTGTAAGCCCGGACCTACGGCCTAGAAAACAGTGCGTTAATGTTCGAAATAAGGCAAATAGAGTATTGGGTTTTATATCTAGAAGTGTAAGTAATAAGAGTGCGAAGGTCACATTTCAATTATATCTTAAGCTAGTCAGGCTGCACCTCGATTGTGCTGTTCAGTTCTGGTGCGCTTATTAAAGAATGGATATCTTCAATTCACTGGAGTCGGTGCAGCGAAGAATGACGAAAATGATTCCAGGACTTGGAAACCTTCCATATCAAGATAGGTTAAAGAAACTAAACTTGCATTCCCTAGAAAGACGAAGAGTGCGGGGAGATATGATAGAAGTATTTAAGTGGGTGAAAGGAATCAATAAAGGAGATATAGATAAAGTTCTTATAATAATCGAGCAGGATAGGATTCGTAGCAATGGATTTAAGTTGGATAAGTTTAGGTTGAGGAGGGAGATAGGAAGAAACTGGTTCACAAATAGGGTGGTAAACGAGTGGAAGAAGCTTAGCAACTTTGTAGTAAGTGCTGGAACTCTGGAAAATTTTAAAAGGAGGCTAGATAGATTCATGGACGATGGAGAAAGGTTGTACTCTCGACAGGAGCTGCCATGCACAGGCCAACCAGCCTATTGCAGACTCCTTATTTTCTTATGTTCTTATGTGTGTGTGTTAATGGGTCGTAAGTAAATGGCCTTTTGAAAAAAAATACTTTCCCGTATTTTGTTGTATATAATATACGTAAATGTATAATTTCACAACTTCATTTTATAACTTACTGATTTTGGTCTTAACATTTCAAGAGTGGCTGTATTTGTTTAGTTACAACAATTTTCGGTAAAATTATTGTTTCGGGGATCCAGCGATTTGTAAAATTTATTTTTAATAAGTTGTTTAGACGATTCTAAGACATTTCTTTTCAATGGCATTTTGTCCGCTCATGTTTACTTTAAGAGAGAAACAAAAAATAATAATTTATTTTTTTCTTCAGAGTTTAGTAAGTTGAAATTATGTTTTTCTGGTGTTTTTTTTGTGGGGTGTTTTCATCGAATCTGACCTTCATTTCTACCGCTAATCATACCTAACCTAATCTATGTAAAATTAGCGTTGCGTTTATCCAGCGATTTTTAGGATTTTAAGTTTTGGAATCAGTAGTGCTTTCCTTAATTAGACTCAGAAGACTGTGAGTTGGGCTCATCGGGGTCATCCTTCCATAGTACCAAAGGTGTTTGTCAGCTTGATAGCTACAGGTTGGTTATAGTTCGTGCACTTAACCTCAATTGGCAACACACCGTGTTCCTAGAGAAATTTCAACGCCTTACCTTAATACTCAATGTGAAATCTTGCGATTGCTTGGAAGTAATCTACATTCAAGGGGGTTGCGGCGAAGGGCCTATACCGAGCTGTCATTGGTTGATCCAAAATCATACTCACCAATGAATGAACACACAAGAGCTCTCCGGGATGGTGCTAACATTAACCATAACGGAAAATAATCATCGATTTTCCAAAAATGTAGTTGATTTTCTCCGAAAATATTAATGAGTGGTTAAAATGCCATAGAAGTGTCTTAGAAATGTCTATACTACTGATTGAAAACAAAAACCCCGCTGGATCCCTAAACGTTAATAATACCCAATTTTCATTACAACAGAACATTTATAACATTTGTGTTTGTTTTTCTTGCTGAAGCCGGAGTGGCCTCGATATAACTTAGTGCGTTAGTTTTTTATGTGAAAAAAAAACACAAAAAACAGCTTCAGTCAGGTGAGGAAAGGTTAGATGCTGACTAATGCAGCTGAAAGTTTATCACCCAACTGATCTGAAAATTATTGGACGAGGGAGTACATTTTATTTTAACTGTGACTGCCCAGTTCCAAATGTCAATTCGATTTCTTTAAGTGACCTGATTTACATAAACTACAGAATAACCATTTACGTCACTGAGATCAATCAAACTTTAACCAACCCAGATATACTGTACCTCAGGTCAATATAGTTTACATTTTATCACCATCTTTTATTCACTACACATGCGTACGGTACTGTGACCAACTTAGCCTCTTGTCTGATGGCCTGTATTTTGTACGCTGGGTAGTATGTACTATATACTTGACTCTTGCAAAACTCATGAGAAATCCAGACCCCGGTTACGTTGTGAATATCATTTTTGTCATCGGATCAGCTGAACTGCAAAATATTACTGTGGATGAAAAGATTTGTAACATGTGATATAATTTATGGTTATATATAAAAGTATACCACACTCTCGTAGGACCTTACTCTCTTCTGTTCCTGTATTACACTCTGGCTAGGCTGTACTGTTCCCTGGCTGTGTTACTATTAGACTTAACGATTTCTAAGATTTGTTACTAGATCACACTGTTGCTGGGTATAGTGTTACCAGAGTGCGCCATTAGGAGGTATAGGCTTCTTATCACTGCATGGTTCTGTCTTGATATGAACTTTTAAACCTTTAATACTCAATCAATCTTTCAGGGACAGTTATAGTGTAGATCCTTAAACACATCAAAGCGTTACTCTTCAGGAATGTGACGTAGAATATATGTGTTTTTAAGATTATTCTGTGTATATGATCTACGGGATGTTGTTTTTGTCTCCCTCGTCATCGCCTTCTGCAACATTCGTCACAGCAGGGATAAAAAAAAGAGCAATTGTTAACGTGTATTATATGGCAGGTTATGTATTTTAACATAATGTTAACAACTATACTCTAAAGGGAGAAATAAGGTTTGGGGGTAAGAATGTAATATTCCTTTCTATTTGTTACTATCATTAATAATCAACAAACATGACCAAATACATAATGGCGATAGAATATTATGCAGTGTGTATTTTGATATTTACCGAGTTCTAAAGATCGTACCATAAATAGTGATGTAATAAGTGCCTTTTCATATTTACTCAGTTTTTTTCTTATAAAGTTGGCTTGGCCTTTCATTTTTAGAAGTCGATATATAAGTCTCTGAAAGTCGGATTTAAGACAAATAAAATAAAACAAGGCTTAAATATTTTATATTAGTGGTAATCAATTAGAAGCACTTGCGGTGGACAATGCCGGGGCCGGACTCGTCGTACTCCTCTTTGCTGATCCACATGGTCTGGAAGGTGGACAGAGAGGCCAGGATGGAGCCACCGATCCAGACGGAGTACTTACGCTCGGGAGGAGCAATGATCTTGATCTTGATGGTGGAGGGAGCCAGGCAGGTAATTTCCTTCTGCATGCGGTCAGCAATACCAGGGTACATGGTGGTACCACCAGACATGACGGTGTTGGCATAAAGGTCCTTCCTGATGTCAACGTCACACTTCATGATAGTTTGGTACACCGTCTCATGGACACCCGAAGATTCCATACCCAGGAAGGAAGGCTGGAAGAGAGCCTCAGGAGCACGGAAACGCTCATTGCCGATGGTGATGACCTGACCGTCGGGAAGTTCGTAAGATTTATCTAATGAAGTAGAAGCAGCAGCTTGTGCCATTTCATTTTCGAAGTCAAGAGCTACATAACAAAGTTTCTCTTTGATATCACGAATTATCTCACGTTCCGCAGTTGTAGTGAAGGAGTAGCCACGCTCAGTCATGATCTTCATGAGATAGTTAGTCAGGTCACGACCAGCCAGGTCAAGACGGAGGATGGCATGGGGGAGGGCGAAACCTTCGTAGATGGGGACAGTGTGAGACACACCATCACCAGAATCTGCTACGATACCTGTGGTACGACCAGAGGCGTACAGGGACAGCACGGCCTGGATGGCCACGTACATGGCAGGGCAGCTGAAAGTTTCGAACATGATCTGGGTCATCTTCTCACGGTTGGCCTTGGGGTTGAGGGGAGCCTCGGTGAGGAGGACAGGGGACTCCTCAGGGGCAACACGCAGTTCGTTGTAGAAGGTGTGATGCCAGACCTTCTCCATGTCGTCCCAGTTGGTGATGATGCCGTGCTCGATGGGGTACTTGAGAGTCAGGATACCTCGCTTGCTCTGGGCCTCGTCACCGACGTAGGCGTCCTTCTGACCCATACCGACCATCACACCCTGGTGACGAGGACGGCCGACGATGGAGGGGAATACGGCGCGGGGAGCGTCGTCGCCGGCGAAGCCAGCCTTGACCATGCCGGAGCCATTGTCGCACACCAGTGCAGCTGCGTCGTCGTCACACATGTTGTTAGGTCAACTGTAATGTAGAAGAGATTATTGAAATGTATTTTTTAATCGGATTATAAAAGGACAAAAAGAATTCGGCAGGGAGGGAGCGTAAGCTGCGCCCGATTCTTAATTAAACTTAAAAAAAAAGAAATGTGGTACGTAAAGAAAATCAGAGACTTTTCGCCACCTCACAAGTTTCCACCTACCCCTACCCTCCCATTTACCTCCCTGCTGCCTGCCGAATTCCTTTTGTTCACAATTGTACTGTACATGATCATGAATTTTCTTTAAGGATTGGCCACATTTATTGTTAGAATTCACCTTATAATATCTTGGACCATGTAAAGAATACATATATCTCAAAATTCCAATTGATGACGAGAGAGAACAAGGCTTTCAGATAAATGGGGCTAGGGTCTTGATATAAGGATTTAATGGTAAGTTGAGCCACGTTAAGAAAAAGTTAAATTACATATTGGAGGGAACTTCGCACATCAGTCACTTTAATTAGCACGTGCCCCTGTGATAACCGTGTAAATATGATTAGTGCGTTCATTACTGTTCCAACGCTTAGACAGAGGTAGATACTGCATTCACATACTTCATTACCATATAAATTGAGTTAAAGAAACAAAAGTGAAAGATTAGTTAACGCATCTGGGCGAGTCTTTCACAGAATAATACACCTCTCTAACTCAGTAAAAAGTTAATTTTCTTACACTATAGAGGCAATCTTTTGTGGGTGTATGTGTTTGCATCATTTACTATTAACTTTGAAGAGTTGAGCCCTAATTTATGGTTAGTAAGATAATGATTATGTCTTCAATCGTGTGTATAATTTAATGTTACGTTAATGTCAGCTCCACCCCTCAAGTTTATCAAACTGAGTAATGCGGGTCATCTAAAACATGTGAACTGTCACTTGTATCTCTGTACATTCCACGTCACAATTTATATGACTTAGTATTTTTATATTTTTATTCAAGAGACATTTTCTAACGTACTCAGTGAACTTAAGAAAGAAGGAGACTTGGGAGTACACACACGGGAGTTAGTTGTAGTCGTTGAAATTACTCATTATCGATCCCCTGGTGTTTTGTTGTGTTTGTGTTACGAAATGATCTTGGAGAGAGTTACAGTAGAGTGACAACAGTACCCCACAAAAAACACCGCAGTATAACACTAGCAACTGTAAAGTGATTATATTTGTTTTGGTATTATGCGACGATGTACGTATAATGCTATCTTGATTTTTATAAAAGCTCGCAAAAAAAGGAAAACACTGGAACACTTGATAAATGAGTCCAGCAACACTTTATACAACTCAGAGAAGGCTTGTTTGAACTTCCTTATCAGGTGCTCTAGGGTTTCCTTTTTCTGTGAGTTTTTAACAAGATTAATCGTCATCACGTCTGGCGGTTTTGCCAACTAGAGGTGACCTTTTTGTTGTTATAACTGTAATTTAAATAACTTCACATATAAAATTTGTTCTTTCATTTTAGAGGACCAGACTGTACCTAGGTTAGGTTAGGTCAGTTAAGCTAGTAATATGGTTATTAATTTAAAATTTGTATTATGAATTCTGTATCTACATAACCGCTTCTATGTACAGACAAATTTTAATAAAAAAAATGCTCGTATCCATTATTTAGTTGGGATGATCCACGATTTGCAGGCGCACCTGATGGAGTACTTCAATGTTTTTAAAATACACAATAACTTATGTGCAAGAAGAAAACTCAATTCTCCACTCAATTGGGGAATCGGTCATGTGAGAGCGAGAGGGAAAGTGTCAACCTTCCCGATTTATTGAAGTTTTAAAGATTATTTTTCGTCACCGTCGATCATAATAATGTATGAGCGGTGTGGGTTCTTAAAGCAAAGGCCCAGGTAAGTTATTTCATCGTGTAGGCCACTTAGGTCTATTTGAAATTTATGTACTTTTTAATTATTATTTCCTCGGTGCTAAAAACAATATTATTCCCTCGTGGGCTTCTCTATCCATTTGTTGATAGATATTATTTACTGTATTAAAATCCTTCGTTATCACACATTCACCAACTATATAAAAAAACACTGAAATATTGCACTCAACGCATCACACATTGTATATCTTTGCAAATCTCAAATAAATGAACACGATGTTTCTTTTCAATATACAGCTATCGTAAATAAATAACCATACAACATTTGATAATTTTTTTCTATCGTCACAGAGAACTGATAACCTGCCGGCTACTACTACCTGTTCTGGAGGCACGACGTTGACGGTGGTCCGGAGACAAGTGGTAAGATGCACACAATCTGTCATCATTATATATATGTACCATGTCCAGCCGGGAGGAGGAGGAGGAGGAGGAGGAGGAGGTTGACGGGTGGAAAGGGGAGGAGGTGGGTAAACATATCCCCTTACACAAATACAAATAACTGATACACCCAGGAGCTGATAAGACCACGTGTCCTGATATTTGAGGTGGCACGGACTTACAAACATCGCTAAGAGATATGTTTCGATGATGATTATATGATATACTATACAGGTTGTGAGTTTGACAAATATAGGGGAAGTATAAGAGTGCGGCATTTGATGTTTTATATGAGGGTAAATTCTTGACCCTTGCCAAATACTTGTTCCTCCCAGCCTGTCACTTCTGCATAAAGGTATCATAATGAAAAGCTTGGTTCTGTTGTAACTGAGTTTTAGGCGATTGAATCTCAAGTATGCTAGCCTATTATCTTATACACACACACACACACACACACACACACACACACACCTGCACAACTAGGGTTTCACGTATTCCCTAAAATGTTCAGATTTCTTTTTTGTATTCATTGCACCTGATAGCTAACCAAATCATTAAACATGTTAGGTTAGCTTAGGTAAGGTTAGCTGAGTTGATGATCAAAACGATTCAAGAAATTCCAGAGCATTTTAGAGATTTTCCTGTTTTATGTGTAGATATTATTCAGGCCAAATAGTACCACTAGATAAACAATACAGGAGGTAAGTTATATCCCCTCAAATTGTCTGTCATCTCAGGAACATCTGGAGCGTCTTAGATATGAAGCATCTCTCAGTTGTACAGTACCGTCAGAAGGTTTTTAACGCAAAACACAGCCAAGAGACATAATTTTCTCAGCATTATTGGTGTCGACTAACTGAAACTAGATATCAAGACTCTCCTGGCTCTAGTTAGTATTTACATGTCAGTGGTTTTCTGTGGTTAGTTTCGTTATTTTTAGATACGTGGCTCTTCCTTAGGACACGACACAGATATACCACGACGTTCAAGACCGAGAAAAGGGAGTTAGGCGGAAGAGTATGATGAATGTGTCTTGCTGTGTGTGTGTGTGTGTGTGTGTGTGTGTGTGTGTGTGTGTAACTTAAATGCATCTTGTATACTGGGTCAAATTTCTTGTACCGTGTAACAACAATGAACATGCTAATCCTGAGCGCCACACTTGTCAGAATCACTAAAATTACGTTTTTTGTTGTGTTAAAAAGATGAGAGAGGTAACCAGATGGTGGGTATTGGAAACATTAATAAGTGCCATTACTTTTTATATGTAGAAGTCGATATGTTAATAGATGTTCGTTTCGAGAATACAAAAAGTAATAGTTTTTCCTATTGATTTTGGCCTATTTTCTTGTTTAAATAATAGAAAGTGTGAGTGTAAAAAATATATGTATGTTCGTCATGAGCTGTTTAGCCTACTGTTGTTAGTGTGGAATCTGTGTACTCATGCTTGTTCCATACTTTTCATTTTTTTTATCCGAATTAACAGATATCGCCATTTTGTTGGGGTGAAGCTTTATCATGAGGGATAACTTGACCACCCTGGAAAAACTTGCCTCAGAAACGCCATCGACAGCTGCACAGGTTACCAAAATCTCCACTCGATGTCATAGAGTTTTATGAGACAGGTATTTGGGTATTTAGATAGTTATAATTTATTTTCAAGAGGATTGTGTATTAATAATTTTTGGCATGTACGTCTTGAGTTAAAATATCTTTGAGGGTGTTTGATGTCAACTGTCACGCGAAGTTTCCTCCCAGTGAGCCAGGTCATATTGTGTTATATACTTCTTGGTGCTGGCGAATGTATTAAATAATCTACTGAATTCTTGTGTGTAGTAAAACATCATTGAAAGACACGGGTTAAGATTACAATTCGACCTTAGTACATTTTATTCCTGTCTCAATATTAAATAAACAAAGATTGTATTTTAGATAATTTACTATATTAGCTTTTGAGATCACATGAAATACATTTTTATGATGAAACTGAAAGAATAAGCCAACTCATAGCATTCCTGGTATCTTGGTTTCTCGTGTCAGTAGACGTAGACAGACAGGGTCGGCAGAGCTACGTGGCACCACTCTCCAAAATTAGACGCTTCCTGTCCTCCTCCCGCGTAGGGGATGAGGTCCTCCACCCTACCGTATATGGGCGTACAGACCCCCGTAGACGGTCCTCATGTGTAGGGAAACTGTCGCTACTCCGCTACTCACTCTCCCACGTGTCTTAGTGACAGTGTTGACTTCGATACGCTCACTGGTATGATATAATTCACACACACACACACACACACACACACACACACACACACGCACATTCATTCGCTGTCATTAGCCTGAAAGAACGAACGAGAATTTGTTTGATTGTAACTAAAAAAAAGAACAGAGACAGAGAACAATTGATAATTAAGTAAATACAGAAAGGAGAATTAATTAATGTGTTAAATGTTTCCTTGTGCTGAGTTAGTGAGTGACAAGGTGTAGAGCTAAAGTAAGAATGGAACTCGCGACAGTTTCTCTCATGTCACAAAAGCACGTGTAAAGTTAGTTCGTTTAGGTCCCAGATGGTCGCGCTCAGTATGTTTGGTAGAGTATAGTATTGATCACAGAGAAATAATATCTTCTCCCCCTCACTGTGTGACTAGTAGAGCCGAGGCACAACTCAGTGTTAGACCAGAGAGAATCGTACAGTCGCTCCTGTATTACCTGATCTATGGGTGAGAATATTAATTTAATTACCGATAATCACAGCTGAAACTTGTGGAAATTTCAAAGAGCCAGATGCTAAATATAATCTCTTCTACCTTATGTATAAAGATAAATTATTTTGTCTTCCTTTTGTTCCATTAATTGTACTTGGAACGTTTGTGTAAGTCTTAAAGAAAACTTCACAAGATAACATTTTAATTTTTGCTAAATATGGGATACAAAGTTACCTTTAATATTATGTCTTTAAACATCAGTCGTCCAGATGTGGAGACGTTGTGCTAGTCATAACAGACATATTTATCAACAGTTTACGTAGAATTGTACAAGAATTTGTTATGTTTTTCAACATGAGACCTTCGTTATATACCGGTATCTATGCGTGTAATACAAACTGTAAAGCTTTTTTTGTATTTGGAACAATTATAAACACGAAGAAATAGAAATGAAATATTTATTCAATATTACAAAAGCAGTTGACAAACATTTCAGTTTTATTAATATAAAATATTTGAGGCACATTAGTTTATGGTTACATTAGAAACACTTGCGGTGAATGATTCCGGGACCAGACTCATCGTACTCCTCTTTGGTCACCCACATGGACTGGAAGGTGGACAGAGAGGCCAGGATGGAGCCGCCGATCCAGACGGAGTACTTACGCTCGGGAGGAGCAATGATTTTGATCTTGATGGTGGAGGGAGCCAGGTTTGTTATTTCCTTCTGCACTCGATCAGCAATACCAGGGTACATGGTGCTACCACCAGACAAGACCGTATTTGCGTACAAGTCCTTTCTAATATCAACGTCACATTTCATGATAGAGTTATAGACAGTTTCATGAATACCACATGCTTCCATACCCAGGAAGGAAGGTTGAAAGAGAGACTCAGGAGCACGGAAGCGTTCGTTACCAATGGTGATGACCTGACCGTCAGGAAGCTCATAGGACTTGTCCAGGGAGGAGGAAGCTGCTGCGACACTCATCTCGCCTTCAAAGTCAAGAGCAACATAACAAAGTTTTTCTTTAACATCACGAACGATTTCTCGTTCTGCAGTGGTAGTGAAGGAATATCCTCGCTCTGTCATGATTTTCATTAAGTAGTCAGTCAGGTCACGACCAGCCAAGTCGAGACGGAGGATGGCGTGAGGAAGAGCATAACCTTCGTAGATGGGGACAGTGTGAGACACACCATCACCAGAGTCCAGCACGATACCTGTGGTACGACCAGAGGCGTACAGGGACAGCACGGCCTGGATGGCCACGTACATGGCAGGGCAGCTGAAAGTCTCGAACATGATCTGGGTCATCTTCTCACGGTTGGCCTTGGGGTTGAGGGGAGCCTCAGTGAGGAGGACGGGGGACTCCTCGGGGGCAACACGCAGTTCGTTGTAGAAGGTGTGATGCCAGATCTTCTCCATGTCGTCCCAGTTGGTGATGATGCCGTGCTCGATGGGGTACTTGAGAGTCAGGATACCTCTCTTAGCCTGGGCCTCGTCACCGACGTAGGCGTCCTTCTGACCCATACCGACCATCACACCCTGGTGACGGGCGCGGCCGACGATGGAAGGGAAGACAGCGCGGGGAGCGTCGTCACCAGCGAAGCCAGCCTTGACCATGCCGGAGCCATTGTCGCACACCAGAGCACATTCTTCATCCTCGCACATGTCGCTGGTTTACTTGTTGCGGCAAATCTGTTGTGAATATAAATATGCCTTTTGATAATTTTTGCAAAGAACAAATAGTAAGTGCATAGGTATATATATTTATAAATGATAAAATTGTGAAATTTACTGGAGAGAATGTTGTTGTGTGTTAGGTATTCAGGTGCTGTAAATGCAAGGGTATTTAAATACAGGTCACCAAGTTGTTTTCACGAGTGACATCAACTTTAAGGATTAGGAAATATTTAACCTGTAAGAGTAACTAAAGGGTAATAGACAGCTTGATATAAGAATTTAAATTAAATATACAATGTAAATATTAGACGACCGAGTGTGTATAAGTCTGAAGTCTAGAATTAGACTGTGTGCCGTTATCTAGACTACTGATAAGTATGTTATTCCACTGTTGTTCGATCACTAATGCTTTCTGTATTTCACTTAAAAAAACAAAGTCCAAGGAAACAATATAGTCATACTGTCAGCCATTTATTCAAAGATAAAAATAAATTGAACTAAAATTATATTGGGAGACACAGACTTCTTTATGCCTTTAAACTATTGAAGAGATAAAGAAGTCTCTGTCTCCCATTATACTTTTAATTTCATTTATCTTAATCTTTGAATAAATGGCTGACATTATGACTATAAAGTTTCTCCTCACAGGAACTGCATTATATTCACGGTATTGTGTCAACACATTCTCAACGTCTCAATATTATAAGTTCCAAATTTTTTCATAAAGTAAATTCAAGTAGCTAAAATCATTCAACATATGAGTGTGAAACATTCCTAGTCACACATACAGTACAAATATACATGAACAACATTAATGTAGAAGAATGTTTACATATAAAGCTAAACTGTATATTTCAATCAAGATTATTTTCCGTAACTTACCAGACTATCCACGATTAAAGTTCAGTAGTATGTAGACCAAGAAAGAGGAGGAGGACCCTGGTTGTGTAGCCGCCGTCAGAGGTTGACTGAAAAACACGTGGTTCTTCCCTACCCTATATAGCTTCACTGAGCACTTTAGACTTGTCGCTCTTCCCCTCACATACCTGGGAGGGTTGGGTGGCATCCTAGGAGCTTAACTACAATGGGGGCGGGGGGCTACATAAGGTGTGGTCTCCTTCCGGGAACCATATATAGACCAGACTAATTTTAAAAGAGTGTTGGCCTTAGTTTCCTTTCATAGTGTATTAAGTAAACCCAGGTACATGTGGGTAGGCTCCCCTTCACTCTCCCAGCACTAAAACGCTGATAATAATCTTGGTTCTCATTTACCTTCCCTTATTTTTCTTACATTTTTTTAACTTAAATCTATAAAAATCGTTAAGGCGGAATCACTTCGTCTAATGCATATACAGACACAAATTTCGGTTTAAACTACAGCACCTCTGTTCACTTAAGTGCTTGTCACCACGTGTTAAACCATCGTCCTCACAGAGTTATAACCCAAACAAACAAGAAGGGTGTCCAGTGAGAATAGCTAATCCTCACACGCTCAGAAACTTCCAGGACAGGCAGTGTTGTGTTGACCAAACGTATCCGAAACTTCTGGATTTGATATAGTATAAAATGTGTGTTGATATTCCTCAATTTATCAATCTGTGGTTTGACCTATAAGTGTCCATCTTAAGTTTTTTGGCATGAACTTTTTATTAATTTTGTTTTTCAGTTTATAACCGTAGTATAAAAAGCCGAGTTTTGATATGGCTACGAATATATTTTAATATTCTGAAAGTTATATGACGAAGAAATTAGATCTCAGTGAACCTGGTAAATGAAGTAGTTAAATAATTGAACCAACAAGGCTATTACTATCTCAACTGAATTCCCTAGAAAAGATTTACTTGAAAATTACAGGTTGAAATTTGAATGTTGAGAGTCAGCCGGGCGTAGCAGTATCTTTGGGAGGAGGTCGTGAGTTTTGTTGAGCTCTCCCATAGAGAATTATAATGTATGTCCCATTTTCTCATTTGCTTTGACGGATGCGTTTTCTTTTGACGGGCATTAAGCCGACGGGGAGAGGATGGGGTGTGAGGCCGCTGCACCTCGGCGTTTATTTCTTGTTTTTCTCACCCCAAAAAGTGTACGGTGAAGCTCAAGTGTTAGTACTTACTATTCTAAATGCGCTCTAATTCTTGTAGGATGTCTAAGGGTAGAAATTAGAATGCAGTTTTTTTTAAAGAACCCAAGAGCCTGATCCTGTAAGCATGGTTCAAGATATAGTTGAATATTAATCAGGCTGGCTGTCTTGTGTGTTATTGTGTAGTTCGTATTTGTTTAGGTGTTGAATCTCACTTGAATTACTAATTTTCAATGAAATCGTTCACTTTTCTTGTCACTTGAAGTCCCTTTATCAGTTGCCTTCGGCATCTTATATCATTCTGTTAAAACTCTTCATCGTTTTCTTTATTTTTGATGTCTCTTTATTTAAACAAAGTTTTTAAAAGAATCTGATTTATTGTTTACACAGCATCTTCGGTAAATATACCCAACGTTGACATATGATAATGTAACTTAACGGTTAGAAACATTTGCGATGGACAATGCCGGGACCGGACTCATCATACTCTTCCTTGGTCACCCACATGGCTTGGAAGGTAGAAAGTGATGATAGGATGGAGCCACCGATCCAGACGGAGTACTTACGCTCGGGAGGAGCAATGATCTTAATCTTGATTGTAGCAGGAGCCAGAGCAGTGATTTCTTTCTGCATGCGGTCAGCAATACCAGGGTACATGGTGGTACCACCAGACAAAACAGTGTTGGCAAAAAGATCTTTCCTAATGTCAATGTCACACCTCATAATAGAACTATAAACACTTTCATGAACACCTACGGATTCCATACCCAGGAAGGAAGGCTGGAAGAGAGCCTCAGGAGCACGGAAACGCTCGTTGCCGATGGTGATGACCTGACCGTCGGGAAGCTCGTAAGATTTGTCAAGGGTCGTGGAAGCTCCGGCGACGTTCATTTCATTCTCAAAGTCAAGAGCGATGTAGCAGAGTTTTTCCTTGATGTCTCGAACAATTTCGCGTTCAGCTGTTGTAGTGAATGAATACCCACGCTCCGTCATGATTTTCATAAGGTACAAAGTCAGATCGCGACCAGCCAAGTCTAGACGAAGAATTGCGTGAGGAAGAGCATAACCTTCATACACGGGAACATTATGTGTCACGCCGTCTCCTGAGTCACACACTAGACCAGTAGTACGACCAGAGGCGTACAGGGACAGCACGGCCTGGATGGCCACGTACATGGCTGGCATGTTAAATGTTTCGAACATGATTTGTGTCATCTTCTCTCGATTTGATTTGGGATTGAGGGGAGCCTCAGTCAGCAGTGTTGGGGACTCCTCAGGAGCAACTCGGAGTTCATTGTAGAAGGTGTGATGCCAGACCTTCTCCATGTCGTCCCAGTTGGTGATGATGCCGTGCTCGATGGGGTACTTGAGAGTCAGGATACCTCGCTTGCTCTGGGCCTCGTCACCGACGTAGGCGTCCTTCTGACCCATACCGACCATCACACCCTGGTGACGGGCGCGGCCAACTATGGAGGGGAATACACAACGGGGAGCATCGTCACCGGCGAAGCCTCCCTTGACCATGCCGGAGCCATTGTCGCAGACCAGAGCCGTCGTATCCTCGTCGTCACACATGCTGGGTGAGTCTCAGGAGCAACGCTGAAAGACAAATATATTTATAATAGTTACCTTTACATGTGAACAAAAAAATTTCGTAATGTGTGTACGATCATACAATGGTTAACTGAATCATTGTACAGGTATATTTAGCTACAACAAATTGTTACAATCGTGTTGGTTCAGGACTGTTCCCTAAAATATGATCCATCACAATTTCCGCAGTGTAAAGAATTGTCCATAATTCCAGGATTCTTTTTTTTTTCTTCTATTTTGTTAATCAATATTATTTCTCCCCACATAATCTGTTTAGAACTTATGTTGGCATGATTGTCTCCTCAACATCAGTCCCGTTCTCTGTACCGTGTGTATATGTTAAGTAAATAAAGGTTTTAGAGCTGAGCCCCACTGAGCCTGCTGAGTGTATGTCTCCTGTGTTTTCTTTCCTCATCCAATTACTGAATAATTGTAAGAAAGAAACAACTCCACGTGCTTTATCTCTGTCTGTCTCTCTGTCTTCTCTTCTGTCTCAGTCTGTCAACCACACGTACCTCTAAGTCTCTATTCAATTGTTGTATTTTTCTTCTGTATAAAACAGCATTTGAGTAACTTACTGATTAAGTCTGGTATTTTATGCAGTTTAAGGGAAAATCCTTGTTGCTGAGCAGTTTACTTCTGATCGTTTGAATGTAATTACTCTCAAACTTTTTAAAGAAATTATCTCAAAGAGAATTTGTGTCAAAAAAATAATGGTAAATTATTGTAAACTTGACGATTTCACAATGTTAAGGTTTTTATTGGAATCAGTTAAACGGTGTATGGAAAATCGAGATCAGACTCATAATACTACTTAAGGAAAGACGTATTAAAGCGTAGATATTAAATACTAATTACAGACAAGAGTTTTGAGTCAGCACCATCTCGTTAAGGAATCGCATCTTTGTGTAGGTTTTCTAAGCATTTTAATACTTTGTCTCCTGTATTTATTTAAGAATGAGGTCATTACTAAAAGTTATAAGACTTCGATTCCAAACTTTCACTCCGGTTAGTCAGACTGATACACTCTTAACTCCACCAGTACATCAAGTTGGAGTATAACCTCATGCGAAATACGGTTCCTGATATGGGCCTCACGGATGTACTTACTTCACTGTATATGTCACTTCATCTTCCCTGTTCACTTGGTGGAAGAAAAGTGTTTGATTGTTTCACCTTAACTGACGTGAGGAATGTAAACAAAGGCAAGGCACGGGAGGTGGTAGGGAGCTTCTTACCTGTGTGTACACCTTTCGTGAATCTAATTGTGACTGGGGGGGACCTTACACCCACCTGCCCTTTTATACCTCCCTTGTGAAGAGGAGGAAGAATGCGGGGACTGAGTAAAAAAAAACGTAATTCGAAAATTTTAACATTTGAAAGTGATGGAAATTTGTATCTGAACGTGATTTAAGTTTTACGTATGGGAAAAAAATCTGAACTTTTGTGGGATTCCAAAACAAGATAATTTAATCAGAATTTGAAACTCACAATGCAGAATTGTTCTGAATATTGTAGTTTAACATCTAAGTGAGTGTTGTGACATTGTTTAACGTGGATAATAATGGAAACAATTTAGAAAATATTTTATGACTCCTCTGATCCTGGATATTAAACATTCATTGATGGTGGCAGTGGTATTTTACTCTTCATCATAAAACTTATATATAATGACATAGCTCATCTTAGACATAACTTATATACTGTATAATGATATAGCTTAGACACAATTTACTCCACAGGCAAAATTTATCCGAGTTGTAAAAAAAAAATCGAATGAAAAATACTGAGATTCACAATGGCTTATTAGTCATACTAAGCACAAAAAAAAAATCAGTGCCTTGAACGCTGTGTAGAAAGATTCTTGGATAACGGGACAATTTTTTAGTCAGGCGATATCAACACGGCTTATCGACGCTGCCGATTTAATCTTCACCGAGTAACGCCCCGACCAGACGTAGCCCAGGGAATACTAATAACACCAATGTTTACCTTTGTAGAAAAAAAATTACCACTGTGTTAAAAAATTTCTTACGAACATTCTCTGTGTGAAAGAAAAGAAAATGTATTAAAAGATTAACAAACAAAATACCAGAAAAAAATCATCTTTCTACTTTATGGGATGATTTAGACTTGTGATAAAAATAGTATTTAAACGTTGATATAAACGGGTTAACCTTGAGACGTCGTTATCAGAGAGTAGATGTCAGAACAGTTAAGAGGAAACAGTAAAAGTGTCTTATTTATTATGGCTTTGTCCACTAAGAAACAGTGTTTAATGTTCTCCTCCTCTAGATACTTGCATTGGACTTATGTCTCTATCATGTGGTTGAGAAATAAGTGTATCTAAGATTAAGTTGGTATCCTCGCTTCTCGAAACTTACAGTAGCCTCAAACTCCCTCTGTGTCCCTTTAAGAGTGCACTCAGAATCACTTAGCTACTCAATGCGGTACACTACCTACCCTAGATGTCATGGGCCTGATGGGCACCCTACTCTTATGAACCTTGGGGGCACCACTCATCCTGGGTAGGCCGATTTGTTTTGTGTTTTCCCTCACTTCACTTTTGAATTCTACCGCCTCACTTTCTGCGTATCCTGCTAGCTTTTCCTACTATGTCATTGCATCGTTTTATGGGTCCTTCATATTTTTCAACACCTGCTAGGGCTATGTAACATGTTATAATACCTAGTTTAAACCCTTTGTCCACGCTACTCTCCTTTCGCTTGTAATTTTGCGTATGTGATCCTTATAGGGTTTCTTGTCCACTCCAATGTCCAACTACTGTATAAACATAGCGCTAGAGTTTGTGTTTCTCTTCCTATTAGTTGTTTGTCAGAAAGGCTTTGCAGTAAGTCCGTTTTACATGCAAATATTACACCATCGTGATAGATAAAGGCAGTTGTTGATTATATTGCGTTCATCATTTACTCAGTGTCACATATCCCAAAAGTCTTTCCAAACAAGGAGATAGGTACAGGTACTGTGTATGCGTTCATCCATTGGTCCAATCACAAGTGAAATGTTTTTGAGTATGCAGTTCACATTATTGATATGAGACTTGCATCAGCATTTTTCATGTCCAGAGTATAAGAAGTTCAAATTAGCTGGAAAGGAAAATCATAAAAAAGTAATTATTTTCTGCATATTCGTGTAACGTATAGCGAGGCGTAGACGGTTCTTAATTACATGTGTTTTTCTTTTCTTAATGTATTAAGTTACTTGTGCAATTTTAAGATGAGTACTTGCCATCTTAACCCTAAAAAACAATAAATTTTGATCGTATATGAATCGTCAGTCGCCCAAAATTTCGGAATATCTTCCATAAATAAAAGTGCAAGTTTCAGTGGTTTAACCCAAAAAAGATATCAAAATTCTTTGTGTTAATTCATCATGCATACCTTCCCTTGTTTAGCCCAGGAGACTAGAATAATAGTATTTAAGGAGAATTTTCAGCCGCTAAAGATTTCACATTCGTTACGTAAATAGAAGCGTGAATCTCATAGTTGTGACCCAGTAAGGTGGTGGATCCTTCCTTAGACCACTGACTCAGGAGCTCCCGGTCTCAAGTCTTCGTGTTCTATCTTGATCTCGCGCCTGTGTCCTAAACGTAAGCCAGATATCTGTGTTTATGGAGTGTGAAATAGGCGGGAGGTAGCAGTCCGACACTCAGTTACACCAACAACAACACCAATAAAAACGATATGTTTATTTTAGTTTTTGAGGCGTTTTACACTTTTTATGAATCAGTTTTGTTGTTTTGAAAGATTTTATGATAGGTTTGTATTGGAAAGAACAGCTTCTTTTGGGCTTTTATGTAGTTTTCAATTTTTTTTTGTTTTAATGAAAAGTTTGACTTATTTAGAAACTTGAGAATAAAGCAGAACAAATTAGCTTTCCTCAAACGTCAGTATTTGTATTGGTAATATATCAACTGATCTTAAACTGAGATACGTAGAGAGATAGTGTAGTCCTTCCCCTGTGGTGTAAACAAAACGCACGGAGAAAAATATATCTGGCCTTTAATTAATCCACAAAAAGAAATAAAGTGCACATTCACAGTCTGAGTATCTTACATATCTGATTTTTCACATCACATCTCATGAAATTATTATGACTCATTTGATTAAAGGATTCCAGCGTGTCAAAGCTTTCTCAACCATTCAGAAGATTCAGAATCGGTAAGTTAATTCAGAAATATCAGTACAAACAGAGGAGCCATAGAGAATTTATACATATATTAATTATCATGGGATTGCAAGATATAAATACATTTCCGTAATCTTTTTGGTGATTTCGTAGTTTTCTCTGGTAGATTCCCCAAGTCTCTCTTCAGATCATTGAATTATAGGAAATATGGTCAGTTCTGTAGAGTCTCCTAAGTATTGTTGATCTCATACGTAACATATCGATTAATTACTGTTACATGATTTGCCTGAATTATGGTAAATAAACAAACAACCTGGAGTGAGTTTTAGTGATTTTTTATTGTTTTTTACCCTTAATATTTATATACAGATGTCGTCAACATTTATCAGTCCAATGTTCAGAGGAAGACTTGATCCTTGTTCTACTACAGTTTTCTGTCTCCAGCTTTTTCTGGCCATTAAACGTCTCCAAACTTCCTGATACCTTTTTGTTCATTAAATATTTGTGTGTGTGTGTTTGTCAATTCTTTTCTAAAATTAATTATCTAGATTGTTTTTTTGCCTCCAAGTTTCTTATGCATGTAGCATCAAGTATTAAATAAAAGAGTGAAGTAGAAGCCATGTATATCATTAACAGACGATTCAAAGGTGAATAATGGTGAGACAAGTCATATATTTTTTTAAAATATTTATTATCCCTGATATTTATTGCTATTCATTTCTACGAAAGCTCTCTTGAAACAACGATAAATGTACTGTACATAAGTATTTATTTAGAAACATTTGCGATGAACGATTCCAGGACCAGATTCTTCATATTCCTCCTTGGTGATCCACATAGCCTGGAAGGTGGACAGAGAGGTCAAGATAGAGCCACCGATCCATACGGAGTACTTACGCTCGGGAGGAGCAATGATCTTGATCTTGATGGTAGTAGGAGCCAGAGTAGTGATTTCCTTCTGCATGCGGTCAGCAATACCAGGGTACATGGTGGTACCACCGGACAAAACCGTATTCGCAAATAAGTCCTTCCTGATATCAATGTCACACCTCATGATGGAGTTGTAAACAGATTCATGTACACCAACAGACTCCATACCCAGAAAGGAAGGCTGGAAGAGAGCCTCAGGGGAGCGGAAACGCTCGTTACCAATGGTGATGACTTGACCATCGGGAAGTTCATAAGACTTGTCTATCGAAGTGGAAGCAGCAGCAACATTCATCTCACTCTCGAAGTCGAGGGCGATGTAACACAATTTCTCCTTTATATCGCGAACAATTTCACGCTCAGCAGTGGTAGTGAACGAGTATCCACGCTCAGTCATAATCTTCATCAGGTACTGAGTCACATCGCGGCCAGCCATATCAAGGCGAATGATAGCATGGGGAAGAGCGTAACCTTCATAGACAGGAACGTTGTGGGTTACACCATCACCAGAGTCACACACCAGACCAGTGGTACGACCAGAGGCGTACAGGGACAGCACGGCCTGGATGGTCACATACATAGATGGCATATTGAAGGACTCAAACATGATTTGTGTCATCTTCTCACGGTTGGCCTTGGGGTTGAGGGGAGCCTCAGTCAACATTGTGGGGGACTCCTCAGGGGCAACACGGAGCTCATTGTAGAAGGTGTGGTACCAGATCTTCTCCATGTCGTCCCAGTTGGTGATGATGCCGTGCTCGATGGGGTACTTGAGGGTCAGGATACCACGCTTGGCCTGAGCTTCCTCACCGACGTAGGCGTCCTTCTGACCCATACCGACCATGACACCCTGGTGACGAGGACGGCCGACGATGGAGGGGAATACGGCGCGGGGAGCGTCGTCGCCGGCGAAGCCAGCCTTGACCATGCCGGAGCCATTGTCACATACAAGAGCACACGCCTCGTCGTCGTCGCACATCGTGGTGTTGTATCTGAAATACAAAGATTGGTTAAATATTGTGGCGTGAGTATACGACCTGTGTTAAATCATTTTTGATAATGGTGGAATTGTTTTGTGACAATTGGAATTTAAATAGCAATGTAAAGTATACCTGGAAAGCAAAACACATTTTGCACATTTATAAGGATCAATAACCAATCGAAGAAAACGACAGGTAGTCAATTTGTGTGTCGGCAGAGGCTAAATTGGGGAATATTCTTTGAATCGCAGGAGAAAAAAGTTCTTGACAGTTTAAGGTTGTTGCGATATTTAAAATAAAATGAGTTCATGATGTATCAAACTGTGAGTAAATTTCCAGGGGTATTCAAAATATTAGTAGGTAACATATGATGATATAAATCACCTCTTCATCCGTTTCTGTTACAGAAAATTTAAGGTTCTGCATCTAAAATGTCAACTATATTATATCATATTCAAATTACGTAAAATCTTACATTTTTAACACAAACACTTAACGCACCAGCTAAACTCATTTTCCAATAAACATTTCCAAGTACAATACACATTCCAAGACAACGTAGAGGCGCTGTGTTTTGACTAGGTCCCGACCAGCAGGTGTGAGGGTAAAACCTGATGGTCAGATGGTCGACTACCACCTCCTGAGAACACTTACCGGGTCCAAGTATCTGGCTAAGTGAGGTCGGTAGGCGTCTCCCTGGCTCCTTTTTATACCAGTCAGAGGTCCTTACTGAACGGAATGCAGGACCGCGCCAGAGAAGTCGTATCGTAGGTATTAAATAACATTAAGGTTATATTCGTATTTTACAGTGATCATTAGATGTGATTATCAGTTGCCTTTCACGATGACCAAAACTACAATATTTTTCTTTTAATGGGAATGACATGAAAGTTAAAATGGTTTATTAAACAAAACTCCAGTTATTATTAGGTTACTGGACATCCTCTTGAAGAATCAATGGAACTGTTATTGTTTGCTGTGAACATGTGTGGAATTTTCAGACTGGAAATGATAAAGTGCTCATGTATTGTGATAATATAATGGTTGTCCCTTATGTTTGAGGCTGACCGGCCCTAGGATTTGTTTAAGGTGTAGTTAATGAACTGCGTCAAGGAATAATTCGATAAAACCGGATAAATCGTCAACTACACTGGCTAACCAATACCCCGGAGAACGATTCGCAAATCGATTAACATCCACGTTCCCATTTACAGATGGCACAAATAAACTTGTCCATAGTTTCATCCTGCCCAGGGCGAATCCTGGACCACTTGCTTGGGAGGTGAGCATGCTGACCGTTACACCACGGGTCATCACAGATCACCACGTGTATTACTTACTCACAACAAACACCTGCTTAGCCAGGATGAACTACATTCAATAAATGGTTATTTCCTCTTTACTCTGTTACCTGAATGAAGTACGGTACATAAATGAAGCTCTCAATATCTTGTCAAAATGTTCCTGGTTTCCTTTAATTATTGTTATATATTCTTTGATTTATGATATTCGCAAGTTTTTTCGCCTTTTCGCCAGGTCAAAGTGCTTGGTCATGAGCTTCATTTATAAGAACTTGTGAGACCGAACTCGTCATCAGGATTTTTTTGTTTACAGTGGTTTATGAATGACAGTTCTACCAGTCGTATAATAAAATAAAGTAGTGTGATTTATTTGAGTTAATTTTATGGTTTAAAATCAAGCGGTAGAGGTGTATTGCAAATATATTTGGTGGTTCATAAATTTCAAGGTAATTAGAGTACAGCCCATATCTAGTTATCAGTGAACAGTTACGAAACGAATTCATATTTAGTTCTGAAACTCCAAATTACTGGAACTGGTTGTTTATGCATAGGTGATGGTGTTGTGTGTCTTGCAGGTTTGGTACAGTTTCCAACAGGAGTAGATTGGCTTTTGCTCGTGAGTGGTATCCTTAGAGAGTAAATGGGACTCATTAATTTCACTCAAGTCAAAACTGCACACCAGCTGGCCTTCTCTCGTTGACTGATTCAGAATTCTCAAAAATTATTGGAGTGTTCTTGATGCAATCTCTACGTAAGACTCGTAATAATATGATATTTTTTTTACGTTTTACATAGTTTTATTACGAAATGAGGCACTTGTTGGTGTGAAAGACCGGTTCAAATATTGTTTCATGCACGAGATTACATACTACTTGTGAATATATTGGTAGTATATATTTTACTAATTAAATCTTCATATTCCAAAGCTTTCATTGTTTTTCACGATACATTTGCAAATTACATAAAAAAAATCCTTAACGTTTGATTTTCAGTGACCAAAATGTGAGGACAATCTCCTTGGCAGATCTGTGTAATAAATTTCCCCTCTCACTAAGGTTTTTCACCAGTGATAGAGTAGAGCAGGTGAACACTAAGGACACCTTAATTACCGTGACTCAGTGACACATATCGCCTCAGGTAAAGGAACAGGTGTGCACAGCGCTCTTGCATCTTCTTCTTAACCTTAACTTCACCTAAAATACCAAGAATCTTTTTTTTTATAGACGTTCAGTCCGATGAAAGTCGAACAAAGACCCTCTCCCCCTGCCCCTCCCCCTCCCTCTCCTCCTCCTCCCCCTCCCTCCTACCCCCACCTCCCCCTCCTCCTCCTCCTCCTCCTCTCCTCCTCCTCCGCCTCCGTCTCCCTCCTACCCCCCCTCCCCCTCCCTATCGATGCTCCCACGGAAACGGCCAAGAACCCTTTCAGATGTATTAATATTTTTTGTATCTCAATAAACGTATCAATCAATCACAAACCCTAACCTGCATAGAGATGTAGGTGCTAAAGGTGGTGGAATTGCTTTAGTACTTCACAACAAAACAAAACAAAAACATTCAACCATTATTGTTCAGATGAGCCAACGTGTACTGTGGAATTAAGGAAGAGCCGTTTCAGGGTTTCATGGGTTGAAAAACTAATCATTATAAGTGAAATGACCTCACCCCCCCTCATCTATGCTCCTGGGATGAGTCTTGTTGTCATATATATTTTTTTAAATGTCTGTTATGTGTATTATTCATGAACGTTTCAATGTCTGTTTAACTGTGGATGTGTACAGTATGTAAATCCTCTGTACGTCCACATTGTCAATCAACCAATGTGTGTTTTGTCTTCAGTGAGGTCCATAACTCTTCCCTAAATGCAATAATTTTCGTTGTATTTTAATTTCTTTTTGTTATAATTAAAGTTATTTTCTTGAATCTAGTAAAAAAAGTCACATGAAAAATATCATCTGAACTAACTTAACCTAACTTAGTCAAAATTGTGACTTTTTCTTGTGAATTGGTTTTCAAGTTACCATTTGCTAAACAGTAACCCATCCTTAAAGCTAAACTCGTAGTTAATTAGCTAGAAGACATCAAAGTAATTGAAGACTGCCTCTCTGTACGACATATTTCTTACAGGGTAATTTTTAGGGGGGAGGGAAATATCATCTAGATTATTCTCTTAGGTTGTTGGTGGAATCAAAGCTGGAAATGTCTAGCCAGTTAACATTACCAAAGAACTCAATACTCCTACCAGCTGCTACCTGATCACATGCATCAAGTCCTTCGGTGTACAATATTCGATCATTAATACAATACATTGGTTAACATTTTCGGGTTCCTTATAACACAGGAAAGCTATTAGAACTTTTATATCATTGGTAAACGATATTCTCAACTACATTGTTACCATCAACGTGTTGAAGTCACCCATAAATGAGAAAATATCTCCTAAGGAATTTTGATCCATCACACTGTCTTGGTTTGTAGAGTTCAGTGTTTCCTTTGAACGTAAGGAAGGTAAGGCCCATTGAGTACTGTAACACGCACATCGAGTTGCAATGTTTATTTAGTGTTTTGTTGGTGGAATGGAAGGCCATGATTTCATAATTTGGACTCGTTTTTTTTAAATGGATTTAGAATACAACTTTATTTATACATTCTATATTACTAATTCACTACATTATTGAAATTTGTATTATCAAAATCAGTTGGAGAAGAAACTCATTTAATTAGTATTTGTATATTAAAGTTTGATGAGGTGTGATCACTGATATTTCTCTGAACGATATCTAAATTCCTCTCTCTTTTTCCAGGTATGCATGGTAGGGCGCTTCTCTTTCTATTTTAAGGTAAGTATCTTGAGTTTATGTCCTCTGTTGTGTCTTTCATGTTATTTACGCTTTGTAATTTAGGACTTTCTCTCGGTCAAGGAAAGTGTAAGATTTCTTCACGTGGCCTCAATATTACACGATGAATATAAAAAATCTACGAGATTATTTCATCGTAACGTTATATTGGCATTTAAGATTCGTTAGACGCTTTGTGATCCAAGGCAAAAATTTATTGAACGTGCATTAAGTGTGTATCATATTTTTTATGTACAGCAGGGCAGAGATGCACCGTCTGACTTAAGTGTGCCGCGATAACTCACTTAGCTGAAAATCTTAATTGAGGGCAAAGTGAAAACTTAAGTTTGCATGCTGGAAACAAACTTACGATTGTCTTAACCCAAGACAGTCGTGGCTAAGACTGTATTCTACCGCGTCAATCAGAGTGCATTTGACAAAAATTTTAGCCAATCGCAGGGCGGATACTGATGTAAACACCAAACGCAGATGGTAGACGAAAGCCTCACGCGACATTCAATACAACGCTACAGCCGCACACTAAGAACAATGACGTCACAAAATAAGAAATCAAGGCTCCAAGGATGTGATTGCCAACATTGTCACCAATACGGCAGGGATCTAACCGAACCGGTGAGGAGTGTAGAAAGATCTTAGGTCAACAATCAAGCAGAAGGAAGCAAGGAGGAGACAAGCAATGAAACAAACAGGTAAGATCACTGAGTTTCAAATATTTGGGTTGTTCACACACTAAGCTAAGGTTATGGTAGCCTCAAATTGCTGAGTTAGGGGTTGATCAACAGTTTTTATAAACTTTTTTAAGATAAGCTAGTTAATCTTATGCATTTCATATACTAGTGGCTAATAGGGTTAATATTCGTTTTTATTTCGTTAGGTATTTGGGATTTTTTACCATTTTCACTGGGATTCGTTTTTAGGTTAGGTTACGTTAGGTCAGGTCAGGTCAGGTCAGGTTAGGTTACGTTAGGTCAGGTCAGGTCAGGTCAATTATAAAACAAAATTGCGCTAGAAAAATATTATCTCATACCTTTTGTTGAAATTGGGGGTGAAAACTAATTTTTACCTTTGTTTGGGTTGTCGTAAAACGAATAATGGTGAATATTAAGAAGTTGCCAACACCTACTTATACTGTATACTGAATCTTATACAGGGAAAAGATACACCCTTAGATATGTAGGTGTTGGCAACTTCTAAATATTGACCATCATAAATAAGGATGTTTCAGGAGAGTTAAATTAACACAATATTAATGCATTTATTTTCTCTTGTAGGTAGAGATCCAACTGACTCTCTACTTTTCACTGAAACTAAAAAAATAATTCTTGGTGTCATGGATGATGTGGAACTTGAATGTTTGCTCAAGAACAAGGCAAGTCATCAGGAAGCGTAGAAGAAAATCTTTAGAGCAAGATAATGATAGAACAGTTTTGGTGTGGAATATTTCATCATAATTTTAAATTTTTTTTTTGGTTCACATGATGTTGAAGTAAACTTAGTTGTGTACTTTTCATAATATATCTTGTAAGGTAATTAAGTAATATTCTTATAAAAGTCTAACCTAAAACACCTTAGCAAACCTACAAAAAGTCAGAACACACATATTTAACTTATAAAACAGCTGCGAAGTTTAGTAATCCCTGTACCATATAATCCCCTTATGGTATTTAGTGTCTATCTGACATTTTTTTTCGTACCATACACTGTGGAAAAAAAGGTACATACAATACTGGTATGGTAGGATTCTCCACTTGAGGAAATAAAACATTAACATCAGTTACAACATTGTATTTCTTGAGAGGGTCGAGCACAGTGTATAAGGTATATTAGATTTTTCCTTATACGAGATTGATAATAGTGAATTACAGATCACCTTTGAATAAAACCGTGTTTGCAAGATATTGCATATGAGTGAGTTAATACAAAATCTTAGAAGCACTTCCTGTGTACTATACCGGGACCAGATTCATCATACTCCTCCTTGGTGATCCACATTTCCTGGAAGGTAGATAAGGAAGCGAGAATAGAGCCACCGATCCAGACGGAGTACTTACGCTCGGGAGGAGCAATGATCTTGATCTTGATGGTGGAGGGAGCCAGAGCAGTGATTTCCTTCTGCATGCGGTCAGCAATACCAGGGTACATGGTGGTGCCACCAGACATGACAGTGTTGGCGAACAGGTCCTTCCTAATATCAATGTCGCACCTCATGATGGAATTATAAACACTCTCGTGGACACCAACAGATTCCATACCCAGGAAGGAAGGCTGGAACAGAGCTTCAGGAGATCGGAAGCGTTCATTGCCGATGGTGATGACCTGACCGTCGGGAAGTTCGTATGATTTATCAAGTGATGCGGAGGCAGCAGCTACATTCATCTCGCTCTCAAAGTCAAGAGCGATGTAACACAGCTTTTCTTTGATGTCACGAACAATTTCACGTTCAGCTGTTGTGGTGAAGGAATATCCACGTTCTGTCATGATTTTCATAAGGTAGTTCGTTAGGTCACGACCAGCCAGGTCGAGGCGAATAATGGCATGTGGTAGAGCGAAGCCTTCATAAACAGGAACATTATGAGTTACACCATCACCAGAGTCACACACCAGACCTGTTGTACGACCAGAGGCGTACAGGGACAGCACGGCCTGAATGGTCACGTACATGGCTGGCATATTGAAGGACTCAAACATGATCTGGGTCATCTTCTCACGGTTGGCCTTGGGGTTGAGGGGAGCCTCAGTCAACATTGTTGGGGACTCCTCAGGGGCAATACGGAGCTCATTGTAGAAGGTGTGGTACCAGATCTTCTCCATGTCGTCCCAGTTGGTGATGATGCCGTGCTCGATGGGGTACTTTAGGGTCAAGATACCTCTCTTGGCCTGGGCTTCCTCGCCGACGTAGGCGTCCTTCTGACCCATACCGACCATGACACCCTGGTGACGGGCGCGGCCGACGATGGAGGGGAATACGGCGCGGGGAGCGTCATCACCGGCGAAGCCAGCCTTGACCATGCCGGAGCCATTGTCGCACACAAGTGCGCACCCTTCGTCGTCGTCACACATGATGGAGGTTCGTCAGGAGTATCTGAAAAAAAAATAATTGTTGCTAAAAATTCAAATGGGTGTGATTTTATCTAGTTGCGATTTATATAATGATTAAGTTTAATACGTACTGGTGTATGTTCTCTAATGTGAAGTGTATAAAGATATTTTGTGGGTAATATAAGCACACAGACTTTTAAGGTGATTTAAAGATTTCCGTACCATTTAGCAAAAATTTAATCATAGTGCTTATGATTGTTCTTCATATTGTCTTTAGATAATGTTACGATTGGATATTGAAAGGCCTTAATTGACTGGGATTTGGTAATAATTATTATAGATGTACCGAAAAGATTGTACATATGTTGTACAGTGCATTAGCTCTAAATGCGGTACCATAACCATAATGTACAGTAAGAATGAGGTGCGGTGACCGAGTGGATACAATACTCGCTTCTTGTCTTAAGGGTCGCTAGTCCACCTACTGTAGGTGTTGGAAAAGCGAAGGTGGTCGAGTGCAGTGATGGTTGCGTAAGCTCCTTGACTACCAAAATCCTGTACACAGTGTACTGAACCCACACTGGTCATAAAGGGCAGTCATGCCTTTAGAACTAAGTTTAATATTTTCACAGCGAGAATACTTTAGGAGGATATTAGAAAAATCGAAAGCGTATCTTGTACTAGAGATTCAATTTTTATCAATTTCTTCTATGTGTACAGCACTGTACTTGGGGTCATCATAGTTGTCTGAGTCCGGGACTATTTATCTAATCTTGAGCTGTATATTATCACATGATATCGCACGACTTAAAAAAAAATATCTATCAGTGTTAATTGCATATTGTTCTATTGACGGGAGAGAACCATACCGGTACACAATATATTTTTGATACTTCAGATAAGGATATGGCTTTATTAATAAAACATTCGATGAATTTGGGTAGAAATTACCGACTATTGAAAGATAGGCCAATGATTTTTTAGTGAACATCTTATTTCAAATTAAAAAAAATTACCACTTCATCGACAGTACTTGTTGCTATGAAAAACTATCCAATGTTTCAAATCAACCGAATTCACCTCAATTTACAATTGCAAGTATACTGCGGCTGTTGCTCTTTCACTTGGGTAAACTAATTATCACTGATTAAAAAATGACATTGCGTTTGATTAGAGTTCTTCTCGGCAGCTAAATCCATGAAGAGCTAAAGTTTTGTTCACTTCCTCCACGTTCTGTGTACTGGACGTTATTGTATATACTTCTGGCGGCACTTGGTCTTTGATGCGAGGATTAGCCCCCACCTCCTGAGCACCTACCAGGCCTGAGTCTTGAGCGGACTAAGGGAGGTCGGGGAGCCACCTGCTTTTTATACAAATCTCGGAAGCCCCTAATGAAAGGAATGCAGGTGAGAGCCAAAGATGTCGTATCGCAGGAAACCATTCGCAAGTGTATTATCTGTTATGAAGTTTTCCATCAATAACGTCCAGTAAATAGTATTTTGAAAACAAAAAATATTACATACATGTGTGTGTGTGTGTGTGTGTGTGTGTGTGTGTGTGTGTGTGTGTGTGTGTGTGTGTCTGTGTGTGTCTGTGTGTGTGTGTAAGTAATGGTATATTTTATTTTATTTTTATTTTTTAATATTGTGAGGGAGGGCGAGAGCTGAGGTCTTCAACAAATAAGGTTTCGTCCACTTGCGAAATACCTAAATGTCATTCGACAACTTGGTTGTTTTGGTGGAAATTCTTTACAATTAGCATGCGTTACCTGAGCAGGAATTAACACAGGTAAGACCTATTATGGGAGAAACAACAGCGTCTGGGTGTGTCTGGTGATCTCAAGTTTGCTTCTATAGTTATAAACAAGTGATCGTGGGCCCTTCGTGCCCAGTTCGCTATATAGTCCGACAAAACAGTAATGGAGGGAATATTTGGAGAAGTGCGCTCGCGCCTGTATTTAATCATGGTCGTGGTTGTTATAATCATGATCGTGGTTGTTATAATCATGGTCGTGGTTGTTATAATCATGATCGTGGTTGTTATAATCATAGTCGTGGTTGTTATGATCATGGTCGTGGTTGTTATAATCATGGTCGTGGTCGTGATACTTACAGTATCTATTATACTATAGGAAGGAATAGAATAAAGGTTAGAATAATTAGTTAAAGAAATATTTGCCATACGGAGAGAAATAAGTATACACTGTAGCCTCGTAAGGTCCGAAAATGCTCTGGTAAAGTTGAAACTGCGCATCCAGACGCATGATGAAACTCAGCTCCCCCCCACCTGTTATCTCTAACTATTGTCTGTTTCCCCCTTCTTTCTTCTATTTACTCATCCTCCTTCCTTTACTAATCCAAACAACATTAAAAAAAAGTAGGCTAAGAGAAAAAGTGGGGGAGGAGGAGGGAGCCTTACGATAACTGCAATCTAACGGCCGGCTGACAGTGTACATTGACATCTGTTGCCAGCATAAATAAAATCGTTAATTAGTGCGTTCCTAAAGAAACCATCGACATGGGACCAGGTTTGTTCCACTCTACGAATTTTTTTGCAAATTTTCCACGAAGTTTGATGAAAAACGATTGTGCCGTTTCGCCTGCCCAGAACAGATACACACACGCCTAGCACTATAGTATATTAGATGCTGCCTTTTTTTTAGTATGCTTAGTCTCACTCTTACAAGGTGTTACTCTCCGTTACTAATAATCACCGAGAAAGATCTGTTACCGTTTTTTTAAGTATCTTAGTAAACAGTCTATTGTTTTTTTTAGAGGATAATATTTATTATTTTTATTGGCACATATATTGTAATGTGGTCTTGAACTGCCTGTGATATATATATATATATATATATATATATATATATATATATATATATATATATATATATATATATATATATATACCTTAGTGCATTCTGAAATCCATCCATTTAATTTCGTTTGTCAATTATTCGTTTCAAAATAATTATCAAAACATGAAAATCAGGAAGGTTAATGATTATATTGTCTTATTTTGAGTTGTAATTAGGTTTTCGTATTATAGTTATCACATTTCGATTGATATATTTTGTGATATGACTTATTAATTCATTACAGTTATCCTCCCTTGTTATTGTTTTGAGAGTGAGTTTGTGAGCGCTTTTAGTCCATTACAAATTTCCTTCCCTTTAACTCTCGAAGAATGAGTGGCTATACCTTTCAAAACTTTGACACGAACGCTATATTATATGTATAAGTTACTGGGAAAACTTGCCTGTCATTATATCACTGTTATACTAAAATTTTGACAATAGAGGTTTTAAGATTATTTTCACAGTTAGTCTTTTAATGAGTGTGATATATGTTTGTCTTAGCCAGTAGGTGTACTCTAACTGTTGTGGTTTTGGTATGCACATCAGGATTATAGACAAGTTCAAAACATTCCATTATTAACATCGTTTACGGGCATATGGAGACCCTGTTAATGGAACCGATATAGTTGTATACCTTTAATATACTAACTTATGATAAAGAGTTGTTGTGTAATTGTTTCAACTTAATGATGAAGGAAAAATTTTAATACACATAGGAACCTAATCAGACAACGGTCAAAATCCCTCACATGAGTTTTGATGCGCAAGTATTTTTAGAGTTTGAATGATGATATGTTTAACTTTACTAAACATTCTAACCTATTGAGTTGGTCTTTCATATCTTTAAGTAATTTGAAGTTGGATAAAGGATGTTGATCTATTCCTTATGTGATTGAAATAGTGACATTAAGTGTGAGGTTTAAGAAGAGGGACCAAAAACATTACTCTTGGCAAGGTACAACATGAAACAAAGGAGATATAAGCAGAAGAGAACAGAAATAGTATACGCAGGTAGTGAATCAGCGGCACCAATCTGTGTTCAGGTAACAGGTGCAGGCGGTACTCTCCACTAGTTCTAATTATAATGCTTTGTTTTTCTTAGTTACACCTTCGTCGAACTGAAGAACGTACAATGTGAAGTTTACCGTGATGCGTCAGGATAATTAAATACGTTTTGTAGTAAAATGTTTATGTATCATTTAAAAACCCGATTTTTTGTTATTTCGTTTTGATATTCTGTAATCCCTAATTACTGTTTTAAATATATATATATATATATATATATATATATATATATATATATATATATATATATATATATATATATATTTATTAACCTGGTATGTAATGTACATATAAAGCATGGCAGTAATGTTTCTTAAAAATAGCTTACATGATCCCTGCTAGCGTAGTACAGTGAGGAGGGGAGTATGTACCTGTAGGGTTTGTTGGAAGTTTACAGTGTGACTGGCCTGAGAGAATAAAAGACTATCATGAACCTAAATCAGATATGGTGTTTAAGATATTTAAATAACAGTAATATTATTTTTTCCTAATTTTGTAAACCCAGTGTCGGATTAAAGCGGGGGGAGGTTGAGAGAGCCCTGGGACTCCATAAACGATACTGTGTGTGTGTGTGTGTGTGTGTGTGTGTGTGTGTGTGTGTGTGTCTGTGTCTGTGTGTGTATGTTTTGATAATGAATTTTATTGGCAAGGATTCCCACAAGTTGCTTAATTACCTGGTGCCCCCTCAAGCCTTAATCCGGCCATGTTTAAACCATAATTCTCCATCTACTTAAACATTTTTTATCGTTCTTAAACAAAAGAGCTTAAAAAAAATTAGAGGATTATTGCGATTTTATGACACGGTCAGTAAAGCCTCACTTACGATCCACCATATCTTTATCGTCATTAAGATCTCATAAAACATCAAACGGTCCAACTTTGCTTTAAAATACTGTTGTTGTCTATGAAGTTATGTAAAGTAGTTTATTGGTGATTGATGATTGTTGGGTGTATTTATGAACTAGCGTGACACAAACTATTTAGATCTGTTTATGCTGTATGACTTTGGTCGTGTTTTTAGGACATTTATAGTTACAGTAAATTAAAATGATGTGTTTAAACTGTAATCTGTTAATGAAGACCAATGTGTAAGTAAGAGTTTGACTAAACTTGTTTCTTATATCCACACACACACACACACACACACACATCAGTAATCACGTGCACTGGCGATAAAAATCATATTTCTTATTCCCTCTTTAAGATTCTCATTATGCACCAAATAGAAATTTCCAAATTCTCATAGAAAAACAGCATCTTTGTGTTGTAGAGGTCTTTAAAAACTGCAGGAATGGTTCTCTCCCAAGGATACTATTATGAATCTTAGTAGACTATCTCCAATAACCCCTTCATTACGGGGACGCCACTTTTAATATATATATAATTTTATTTTTTTGTTGAGGGGGTGGGGGCTAACGTCATATGATTTTATTCAGCTCAGAGGGCCGCCCGTACACAAGGGGTTAAGAGGTATTCACTGGAACAGCTCTACAGGCATCAATAATAGAGTTGTTTAATACTTAACTTCTTCTGTGGTGTGACAACATATTTCCCATTTAGCGTCAATTAGGTTATTCTCGTTATTATTTTTTTTTATGCGCGTCCTGTTATGAATTACAATCTTACGCTATCATGTGTAGGCATTAAATATTACCTGTTGTGAATTAGCCTATAATTTTGTATAATTGTTTCTAATCACTGAATATTATATGTTATGGGTTATTAAAATTCATTTATTATGAGTTATAACCTTACGTTATTAATTCCAGTCAGTAAATATTAGCTAAAATGAATTACAACCTTACATAGTTATTCCCATTAATAAATATCAGGATTTAAGCCATTCATACCGACTCAAAACCTGTAGTATACATTCACTACTAGACCTACAGTGCGTTTAGTATTTTAGACTTGTTCTGATACTCACTTAACTTTGTCTTGCTTAACACATGCTAACTTGGGTCTCTCACTCATATAGGTATAGCTTAGTGGTGTCATCTATACATTTAGGATTAACATATTACGTCTATTACTTAACCAATAAGGAAGGAGAAATACTGTTGTCGGGTTCAGGCGTTTACCTCGCCATAATAGAAAACCGATGCGATAGGAGCGTAAACTCCGCTAGATTTTGAAGGAAGCCTCGAGCTTTACGTAGTTGATGTCCCACTGCTAACTAAACATAGCTTCGAATGGGTAGGGTAGGATGATTTATATACAGTATATTTTATTAGGTCAAGAGATAAGGTTTGTGAGGTAGTATTGATACGATTCAGTTTGTAATTACGGCTATATAAACTTAAACAGTATTTGATTCTTCATTAAATACAATAGAACGAGGCCACGGAGTTGGTAGACTGTTCCATAAGTTTACCAATCTTTGTTCGCTCTCGCGTTAATGGTACATGACCACAACATG